TCCGGGAGCTCGTTTCTTGCGTAAGCCCTAAACCCTAAACCCTAAACCCTAAACCATAAACCCTAAACCCTAAAGCTCTAGTAGGTTTAGGCTCATAGGGTTTGGACCCTGAAGCAATCCTTAAAACCCCCCCTCCTCCCCGGAGGGAGCATGCTCGAGCTCCGAGACCAAAAAAGACCCCTAGAACCAAGAGCAGCCTAGGAATAAAATTTGTTTAGGGTTTAGGATTAGGGTTGAGGGTTTAGGGATTAGGGTTTAGGGTTTAGGGTTTAGGGTTTAGGGCTACGACACCCAAGAGCAGCCTGGGAATAAACAGGGCACCCTGTTTGGTTTCAAGGGGCTCGTAAGGGAACCTAAACCCTAAACGCATGGAATAAGGGCCTACTCTGGGTCCTCGATTAAGACGACCTTGAGTCATCACAAGGACATCTTCGGATTTCGGGGTTCCCCCAATGAACTACATAAGGGCTTTTCTGGGGCCCATCCGGCCACTCGAAAGCCCGAAACCCTTCTTCCTAAACCTATTACGGCCCTACACTTCAACCCTGAAAGCCCTGAAGTCTGAGTGTTCCCCCTCTTTCCCCAGCATGGCCCTCAAAAAGCCTCTAAACAATACAGAAGGGTGCGCTGTGGGGCCTGCGTTTTTTTTTAACGCTCTTCGTGGAAGATTCCGTTGTTTGAGGTTGAATGGGCGAAGTTAGGTAGTTGAACTATATTAAGGTTAGATGGGCTCTTCGTTGAAGATTCAGTTGTTTCAGGTTGGATGGACGAAGTTAAGTAGTTGAACTATACTCAGCTTAGATGGGCGTGGTTGATTGTCATACTTGATTTCTTCTGGTTTCTTTTTTTTGTCGAGCCAGGGTTTGCTTATAAGCAGATGGTTTGCTTATAAGCATTGATCTTTTTTGGATGGTTTGCTTATAAGCATTGATTATTATATTTTTTTTTTTTTTGGGGGGGGGGGGGGGTGCAGGGTCTTGGGGCTGTTGAGACACCCCCCCCCCGCTCCCCAGGTGCCTGGATTGCAACGAGCAGCTCGCAACCATCGAGCAGCACGCAGTAAGTAACCCTTAACCCCTAAACCTTTAACCTCATATAAATAATAAATATATAGCATCTCGGCTGCATTAGTTTCTTTTTGGTGCATGTGTGCGCGCTAGTACAGATTGTCGCTCCTGGAGGACGCTATCACCTCTATCCTTCCCTCCTACAAGAACATGAACTGCGTCATCGTCGATCGCGCTTGTAGTTTCTACCCGTCCGCACTCAAGCAAAAGCGACTGAAGCAAATCAAGTTTTGGGTGGTCGATAAATTCCACTCGCACGGGCACACGAAGTCGTGCCTCTGTAATCCGCTCCGCCATGTCAGGTTGTCTAGACGTGTCGACAAAATCAACACATCGGCAGCTGAGGGGGTTTTCTCCTGGTTCCGAAACTTTGCGCGCATACTCAATGAAGCGACGCCCGAGCGACATGCGTTCAAGGTGTTGTACTTTTGTGAGTTACACAACATTGCTGTGGAGCGTAGAAAAACCGAGTATCTACCTCGCATAGGTGCGAATAGAAAGAACAAGAAGCGTAGCAAGCCGTACACGTGCGGGAACGGTCTCAAGAAAAGGCCTGCCGCAAAGTGTGCCAGAAAGAAGCCGGCTTCTCGACAGTGAGAAGAAAAGCACGGTGTCACTGTGTGTATCTCTCTAGTTTATATACTCACAGGCGAAACCAAGGAGCCGGATTCTAGGGGCTTCAAGGCACAGCTGAGTGCTGACGTGAACGGGGTAAAAGAAATACATCGCTGCTGAGCGAGCTGCACGTGCTGTTACGTATCCACAGTCGTGGAAAGCTCTTTTTTTTTTTCGTTTTACTCTGCTGGCAGCCAAGGTATGGTCTACGAATGGAGTCTCTGGGATGAATTATTATCCTGTGTATGCGCGCGTGCTCGTAAATATAAAGTATCCAGGATACAGAGTGTCATGTGCATGCACACCTGCTTTATAAACACTTGTGCACTGCAAAAACACCAAAAAAAACACAGGCCCCACAGCGCACCGCCCTCCAGAAGGTATGATCCTCTGAAACCCAATAAGGGAAAATGCAAAACACTGCCAAGTAAGCATGGTAACTTTACTTACAACCCTATTCTACTCTTAACCCTACTTAGAACTACTCATTAACCTCCAAGTAGCCCTAAACCCTCAACCCTCAAACCTCAAACCTCAACCCTAAACCCTAAACCCTAAACCCTAACCCTCACCACCAGACCGATCCTCGGTCACCGCCGCAGCGCCGCCCGGAGGGGCACCCATCAGGGCGGAGATGGCGCTCTGCACAGCTCCGTCTTCCTGGCTGAGGGTTTAGGGTTTAGGGTTAGGGTTTGGGGTTTGGAGTTTTTGAAGTTTTTGGGGTTTTCGGGGTTTTGGAGGTTTGTTGTTTGGGGTTTGGGGGCTTGGGGTTTAGGGTTTGGGGTCCGCCGACCCTGGCGGCGTGTTGGATGGGAAAGGGAGGTGAAAACCTCCCTCTTTCCCTCCTGACCCCCCCAAAACGCGGGGGGGGGGGGGGGGGGGGGGGTAGGGGGGGGGTCCCCGGGCAGCTTTTCCATGGAGGCCAGGCCACCCACACCGCATAAACTCACGAACCAGGCGGTTTCGCACAGCACATAGGGCCCTTTGGCACCCCCCCTACCCCCCCCCCCCCCCCCTTACCCCACCCTTACCCCCCCCTACCTCCCCCTACCCCCCACCCCCCCCCCACCCCCACCCCCTTTTCCCCCCCGCCCAACCTTCCCCCCCCCCCCCCCCCCCACCTCCCTACCCCCCCCCCCACCAACGTTTCAGAAACTCAAGCAAATCAACTTTTGGCATCCTTTGAGCTGACGAGCGCGTTTAAACCTTTCAACTATGCTCCAGCGGGGTCGGCGGCTTGAGCCGGAGGCTCTTAAATTCCGGAGGTGTTTCCTGTGGTTGGGGTGATGGTGCTGCTACTTGCAGAGCCCAAACCCTAAACCCTAAACCCTAAACCCTAAACCCTAAACCCTAAACCCTAAACCCTAACCCCTAACCCCTAACCCCTCATTATAAGTCCTGAAGCTAGGAGCTTCCAAGCATGCCAGGCCTCATACTCCGCAAGGGTCTTGTTGAACTCAACAGTAGACCTGGTGCGGTCAAGGTGCTTGATGGGGTTCAGGGTTTAGGGTTTAGGGTTTAGGTTTGGGGTTTCGGGTTTAGGGCCGACTCTAACCGGGTCATGGGCATGCCCTGGGAAGGCATGCACGAACACACCCGGCCCCACTTTGCATGCAACCCTAAACACTGAACCCTGAACCCTGAACCCTGAACCCTGAACCCTAAACCCTAAACCCTAAACCCTAAACCCCTGGCTTCAAACGCATGAGGGTCGGGCACGCTGTACTTCTCCAATGGATTGGCGACCTGTGCCAGAAAGGTGCTTCTCAGACCGAAGATCCCGCTCTGCGTCGAAGGGAGGGTTTAGGGTTTAGGGTTTAGGGTTTAGGGTTTAGGGTTTAGGGTTTAGGGTTTAGGGTTTAGGGTTTAGGGTTTAGGGTTTAGGGTTTAGGGTTTAGGGTTTAGGGTTTAGGGTTTAGGGTCTGGGATTTGGGGTTTAGGAGTGCTTCTAGCGTTAGGCTGAAAGTTCCTATCGCAGGCATTCTTGTCGCTTGGAGTATGGAAAGCTCTGATAGATTCCAAGGGCTCTTTCCGGAAGGCAAAATAATGTCCCAAAAAACAGCAATGGGCCAACAGTACGAGCTTAGGAGTCCAGGCTAGAGCCCTCGGCCTCTAAGCCTCAAATCCTGGAAGCCCTCAGCCCAAAACCCAAATCCCTGAACCCTAAACCCTAAACCCTAAACCCTAAGCCCTAAGCCCTAAACCCTAAACCCTAAACCCTAAACCAAACAGACCTAAACCCCAAACCCTCCACCCGAAGCCGTCTTGTGACCACAGCCGCCTGCATCTCTGTGCAACGCTTGCACACCTGGGAGAGACCTCAGTCGAAATTGCAGAGGAATTTGGGTTTAGGGAGGGTGTAGGGTTTAGGGTTTAGGGCTTAGGGTCTAGGGTTTAAGGGGCCATGTCTGAGAGAACCCCCCGAAGAATTAGGGTGGTCCCTAAACCAACTAAAGCTAGTTGGAGGTTCATGGGTAGTTTTCGGTAGAGTTCCGAGCGCCCTTTTCTAGGGTTCTAAGTACGGTTGCCTTAACTCTAACCCTACCTATACAACTTGAGAACTGCCCAATCAAAGGGTGGCGAGGTTAGGCCCTGGTGGCAGCTAGTGGTGGGAGCCGGGGTGCGGGATTGCACAGAAATTCTTTCTAGGGCCCTAAGCCCTAATCCCTGATCCCTAGATGTTACTAAACCCTAAGCCCTAAGCCCTAAGCCCCTAAACCCTAAACCCTACTTCCTAAAGCCAATCCCGAGTCCCTTCTCACAATTTGGCCACCCGAGGGCTGCCGGGATTTCAAGCTTGGGGTTGGGTCCTTCATTCCCAGAGAGCTATAAGTGTTCCGCCTGAAAAAGAATACCCTAAACCCTAAACCCTAAACCCTAAACCCTAAACCCTAAACAGTTCATTGAAATGCATAAGCACAAAACCATGCTCTCTTAACTGGGACTCTGCGGGTTAAGCTTGTGGGGCTTATAACCCTTCAACCCTAAACCCAACATCTACTAAAGCCCGGCCCTAAACCCTAAACCGCCTGGGCAATGCCTGGGATTGCCCCTTAAAACACCATCTGAGAACAAATTCCAAAGCGTGATTCTCTCTTAACACCCCCCCCCCCCCCCCCATAAGAAGGGAACCTATACAAAGATTCCAAGAGCCTACTCAGGGGCTTGGCCCTCAAACCCAAACCCCCAAACCCCAGACCCAAACCCCCCACTACAGGGGCCTTAACAATTAGAATAGGCCTTTTTTTTTTTTTTGGGGGGGGGGGGGGGTATTGTGGTAGATTGAAAAAGGGGCCATAAGGGAATACTTTTAGTAACTTATTCCGACCCCCATACTAAACCCTCAACCCTCAACCCAAAGCACGGTTGTGGCGGGCCGGCAACTTGCTTTTGTCTTTCCTCTGCACCTCTCTCTCCGTGGCTTCGAGGAAGTGGCGCCTCTTCCTTCACGGCGCCGGGTTTAGGGTTGTGTGTGTGTGTGCTGGTTGCTGCTCACCGGAAATCCAGCATGAATGATTAAACTGCGCAAAGCTGCAGGCAGCAGATTCGGTCACGTCAGAAGGTGGGACATGTGGGGTTCACAAAGCCGACTTGACACCCACGCCATCAAACATCTTCTTCGTCTTTGATTTCAAGATGAAATGCAAAACCTCCGTTTGCATGTCGCACCCTAAACACCTTGAACCCTAGAACATACAGAAGTTCTGCCCCTGGGCTGCCCTCCACCTAGGGGTAGGCCTAGGGTTCAACCAAAACCCTAGAAAACTCTAAAGCCTAGCCCAAGCCTGTACATGTTGCTACGCCTGCCACAGCGGCTGGCAAGGGGTGAGTCTTTTAACAAGTCGCAGTATGTATGTGTGTATGTCACGGTCACTACTGAACTGAAAGACCTTCACCAAACACTGGCTTCTGAACGTCAGTCTGAAAATCTGAAGATGTCGTCTCCTGGCGCCCCCCCCCCCCCACCCCCTCAAAGTAACAGTTGCAGTACAGGTCGAAACTGGCAAGTGTCGCATTGAAACACCTCTACCCCTCAATTTACAAGCCCTAAACCCCGAATTTCAACCCCACACCCGAAATCACAACCCCTAACCCTACACCCTGAACCCTAAACCCAAACCCCAAAGCCCTCAAACCCTCTTGGTCCAGGCCTCTCCCTGCGCCCCTGTGCGCCCGCGGCGCGGACGGCGGAGGGCGGCCCCAGCGGAGAGGGCGAAGCGCTGGCGGATGCGCCTTTTTTGCTTTTTTTCTTGCCTTTTAAAAAAATATTTATCTTTTATCTTTATCGTTTTGCTATTTATTGTTGAGTGAGGGAAGGGATTCAGTTTTTTTTATTTGTCTTTTTTTTTTTTGGGGGGGGGGGGGGGGGTGGTTCGGATTTTAGGGTTGGGGGCTTTGCGAGTTTCGGGTTTCTGGGGGTTTTGCCTTTCGTGGACATGTTTTGCCTCCACTTGGAGGTTCAGGGGTCGTCATAAGCAGGGTTATAAGCATGGTAACTATACTTCAAACACCTCTTTAGGGTACCTGTAACCCTACTTATAACTACCCTTAATGAACCTCCAAGTACGCTGCAGGGCTTTTGTGGTTGCAGAGGGTTGGGATTCGGCCACCGCCAAGCAGGGTTTACAAGGTTTACAAAGGGAGCCGGGCGCCAGTCCAATCCAAAACCCAGAAGGTCCGCTTGTAGTGCGATTGCGGAATCTTAGGTACCACAAAACCATACTATATCCGGAGTAGTACGACCAGTGAAGCCCCAAACCCTAAACCCTAAACCCTAAAGCCCGAAACCCTAGACCCTAAACCCTATAAACCCTAAACCCTAAACTCTATAAACCCTAAACCCTAAATCCCAAACACTAAACCCTAAACCCTAAAAACCCTAAAAACCCTAAAAACCCTAAAAACCCTAAACCCTAAACCCTATAAACCCTAAACCCTAAACCCTAACCCCCCTGGGCCAGGTCGATTCTTCAGCAGACAACGGCCAGGCCTGGCTTCGGAGCTCCGGCGGGAGATGTACCTCGGCTGACGGAGGTCGTGGAACTGAGGGTTTAGGGTTTAGGGTTTAGGGTTTAGGGTTTAGGGTTTAGGGTTTAGGGTTTAGGGTTTAGAAGCCTTTAAGGGACAGTACCAAATTCCGTACCAAATCTAAAAAAAAAAAAAAAAATATATATATATATATATGAGAGAGAGAGGGAGATGTACATACATACATATATATGTATATGTATGGACATGCGCCTGCAGAGGTACTATATGGGGCACCTCTCATTCCCCCAATTCCCAACTAAGAACCACTAGGCCACAGGATTTCGCACAGCTGTTTCTTGGGGGATGCTGGTGCTTAGAAAAGGGTGCTTCCGGGAAGGATGATATGCCTCGATAGCTTAAAAAAACTGCAGCCCGGCCGGCACATGGCGATTGAAAGACTTAGACTTTAGAACCTCCGTAAGCTGTTCGAATGCTACCACGTAGCCAAAAACTACAGCTCCCATATATTCTTCTATTATTTGGACCCAAAATCTCGAAACCCCTAAATCCCTAAACGCCTACGCCCCTAGATCCCTGAATCCCTAAACCTCCACTCCTCCAAGAACCGAGCGCTAGACTAGTGGTTCATGGGCTACGGGGTTTGGGAACCCTACAGTAAACCGTTAGGGCATGATGTTTTTACATGGGGTCCTAAACCCTAAACCCTAGACCCTAAACCCTAAACCCTAAACCCTAAACCGTAAACCCTAAACCCTAAACCCTAAACCCTTGCACGACTCGGCCGGGAGGCTGCTTTGCCCATCGCCACTCCTTCAGCTCCGAGGAGGACTCGGGCTCCTGGCAGGCGCGAACTACTTTTGTTCCGAGGGATGCGAGGCATCAGGGTGTGGGTTTAGGGTTTAGGGTTTGGGGTTTGGGGTTTAGGGTTTGGGGTTTAGAGTTTGGGGTTTAGGGTGGAGGGCTGCTGCTCCACCCAAAAGAAGCCCGACAGCTTGAGCCTAAAAGCTCCAAACGCAAGAGTGAGGGGAACCTTGCGCACCCGACGACGTAAGAGCCTCACTTTTGTAGCCCAGCAACTTTCATCGTACCAAGGGTGCCATCCTTCCAAGAAGCCCCAACCCCCCCCCCCCCCCCAAAAAAAAAAAATAAATAAATAAATAATAAATAAATATTCATGAATAAAATAAAGCAACACACCTCTACAACCTCGTCCTGGACCCTAGCCCTAACCCCCCAGGCTCAGAACCCAGAACCCAAAGCCCAAACGAAACCCTCCAACCCGTCCTCAGGCCGCGCGGTGACCACAGCAGGGGAGTCCTCATCCAGACATCCGGGACTTCTGCATTTCGCTGGTATTGGGGGGGGGAGGGGGGAGGGGCGAGGGGGGAGGGGTGGTGAGGGTACAAACTTTAGCTCGGCACAAAGCCTTCGTAGCCCTTGAGCATACGTTCTGAGCCGAAGAGTCGGTTTTGAACCAAAGAGTCGGTTTCAGGAACACAGGCTTAAGCACGCAATGCGCAGAACCATTCTTCATCATTCTTCAAACTGGCCAATGAATGCTGGAGTTCGAGTTCAAGGAGCTTAACTACTTTCGCAGCATGAGCTTCGTAAGGCTCAGATCAGGCCTCAGAACATCTCAGAACGCACTGGGGATTCGGAACTCTCTTGTGCTGTGAGAAAACGGGGAAACTGGACCCTAAAGCCTAAACCCTAAACCCAAAAACCCTAAATCCTAAACCCTAAACCCTAGACCCTAAACCCTAAACCCTAAACCCTAATTCGTCCAAGGCAAAGGAGGCCTCTTCGCTCCGCAGGAGCGCCGGCCGGAAGACCCCGAGCCACTCCGCCACCTGCCTTGGCTCAAGGGACTCGACCTTGGACCCCTAATGGGGGTCTAGGGTTTAGGGTTTAGGGTTAGGGTTTAGGGTTTAGGGTTTAGGGTTTAGGGTTTAGGGTTTAGGGTTTAGGGTTTAGGGTTTAGGGTTTAGGGTTTAGGGTTTAGGGTTCATAGGCCACCTGCCCCTTCCTACAGGTCCCTATAGGGTAGTATAAGAGCCATATTCGGAGTATATTGAGGGAAGCCTTTCCCTTGATTGGCATGTCCGGAGACTTCGGGGGATTGGTTTGGGTTTTGGGGTTTTGGGTTTTGGGTTTTGGGTTTTAGGATTCAGCGCTTTCGGCTTTAGGGTTTTAGGGTTTAGGGTTTGGGGATTAGGGGACTTCGGGGTTTAGTTTAGGTTTTGGGGTTTGGGTTGCGGGTTTACCTAAAGGCTCTTATGTAGTACCTTCTTGGGGTAGTATACTAGAATCCCCCAGAACTAACCCAGAAAGGAACTGCATCAGAGCCTTCAGGTAGGGTTCGAGGCTTTTTGGGCCGACAACGGGCTTGAGGGTCTGAGGTCAGGCATGTGTGACAGCTGCACCCAAGTACAGGTTTGTTTATGCCTTAGAAATTTTCGGGTTTAGGATATGTAACGCGTTGTAGCCACTCAAACCCTCCTAAACCCTAAGCCCCCAAACCCTAAACCCTAAAACCTGAACCCCAAACCCTAAACCGTAAACCCTAGCACGCCGCGCTGCCCGCCCGTGACGGCCAACGCGTTGACCCAGTCTGGGGCCTCTCGGCTTGAGGGTCGTGGGTTGATTTGGGGGTTTGGGGTTTAGGGTTTCGGGTTGAGAGTTTAGGCTTTACCGAAACTGGGGTCTTTGTTCTTTTTGTTTTAACTTTTGGGTTGGGGGGGGGTCCAGGTTATTTGGGCTACAACCGTGGTACCCCTCTTCGGGGATATAACCACTTAGGATTTGAGGTCACAGTTTGCGGTTTTGGGTGTAGTGGGGGTTTTGAGTTTAGGGGTTGGCGTGTTTCCCCTTCTACTAACAGATCCCAACTTAGCGGGTTTAAGGCTTTAAGGTTCAGGGGCTAAACCCTAAACCCTAAACCCTAAACCCTAAACTCTAAACCCTAAACCCTAAACCCTAAACCCTAAACCCTAAACCCTAAACCCTAAACCCTAAACCCTAAACCCTAGACCCTAGACCCTAAACCCTAAACCCTAAACCCTAAACCCTAAACCCCAAGCCAAAGCGCTACTGACCTGCCTCCTGAACGTGAAGCCGCTTGACAAACTCGATGCCTCAGCTTGGGATTCGAGGGTCGCGATGAATCTCAAGAGACCTTCATCGCTTCCAACCCTACAAGGGAAGTTCTCGTTGTCCTCTCCCTGAATCCAGGCTTGTTGTGGGGGCTAAGGTAAACTCAAGCTCAAATTTCTGGGTTTAGGGTATAACCTGAAGGCTCGAATGTACTTCCGTTTTGGGCTACTTCTTGGGGATTCGAGTTTGCTACCCCAAAAGGTACTACATAAGAGCCTTTGGGTAGGCTCCCGAAAGCGCTAACCTGCTGGGATTTCAGATGTTCGGATCAGGGTCTCGGGAACTTCGGGCAGACTGATTGAGGGTTTTGCGTTTAGGGCAGGCTTGGGAGGTCCTGTATTTAGGGTTTAGGGTTTAGGGTTTAGGGTTTCGGGTTTAGGGTTTTAGGGTTAAGGTAGAATTCTTGAAGCAGCTTGTCAGCCAATTGCACCGGGCGGCAGAAGTGCGCACAGTTGCGTCGCAGGAGGTCGTACCTCGAGGTAAGCACGCTCCACCCCGAACCCGCCTTCAGCCCGACTTCGGCAACCAGAGACGTAAGAATGAAAAAGGTGGCCAGACGCGACAATAGAACTTAATCCTTAAAACCCGAGGCCCTACACCCGAACCCTCAACCCCCCCCCAAAATTTCCTATAAACCCAAGAGCAAATGCTTCGGCACCCTGGAAGGGGAAAAGAATCATACCAAGGCACCATGTAACTACCCTTAGATGTAAGTTAGATGGAGAGTCTTAGGGAGGTCGACGCTTCAGATTGAGACCGACGCCCCCGAGAGGAACTGAGATTCTACCATCTGAGCCTGCACCCGAAGCCACTGCACGACCCTGAACGCTAAAGCCTAACCCGTAAACCCCAAACCCGGTTTAGGTGGCTTGGGGTTCAGAGCGTTTGAACGCGAAGCTTGGGGTTCAGAGCGTTTGAACGCGAAGCTCTGTTTTCTACAGTAATTGGCCGGGTGTAGGGTTTAGGATTTAGGGTTTCGGGTTTAGGGGTTAGGGTTTAGGGTTGAGGGGTTGAGGGGTTGAGGGGTTGAGGGGTTGAGGGGTTGAGGGGTTGAGGGGTTGAGGGGTTGAGGGGTTGAACTCCAACAGTCTTGCTGGCCAGGGGACTCCTTTCCTTCCCACTGCCGTCGCAGCTCTCGAAGGACATCAAGCACCTGTATCACTGTGTTCTTGGAGGTTTGGGGTTTAGGGTTTAGGATTTAGGGTTTAGGGTTTAGGGTTTAGGGCCACTTAAAAGGGTCATGGGTAGATAAGGTAGACCCATAATAGAATACCCTTATTAGAAAAAGTATCCCAGCTACTTGGAAGTTCATGAGGAGTTAAAAGCAGTACTTAGAAGTAGCCTAGTTCGGGCACTTTCAACCTTACTTGTAATTACTACAAAACCTCCAAGAACGGGACAAGCACCTGCTCTTACCTAGCCCGAAGCCCGGAACCTGTTCGAGCCTTAGGGCAAGCCTAACAACCCCGTCAGTAGCCGCGGGCTTCAAGGACTCTTTTGGATTTCTTAGTTGCTGAGTCCATCTTAGTAGCCCAGTAACCATCTTGGAAATAAAGGCACCCTTTTTTTGGGTTGGTTACTCTATAAGGGAACCTTGTACCCTAAAAAAGGGAAAAGGGGACCACTGGGCTACCAAGGTACTCATTCAGCTACTAAGATTTGTGGATGTGGGAGGGGCCTGGGGCCTTACACAATCTGCATCCGCAGAGCCCTTATCTCAGAGGTTTAGGGTTTAGGGTTTAGGATTTAGGGTTTAGGGCCTAGGGTTTAGGGTTTAGGAGGCAACCTGCACCCTAAATCGCATCTGCCGAGCCCTCAACACTGAACCCAGGTACGTGGTGACCGAAGAAGCTGAAACTACGCCGGGAAAGCCCCGACCACATCCTTGGAGTTAGGATGTAGGCTTTTAGGGTTATTCATTAGGGTTTAAGGTTATGAATTAGGGTAAAAGGTTATTAATTAAGGGTTTAGGGTCATGAATTAGGGTTTAGGGTTATGAATTAGGGTTTAAAGTTCTCACCCACTTTGTGCGAGCAGGCGGAAAGGAACATCACAAGGCCATCGCGAGAGTGTGCACACTGCTCGAAGAGCATCCCCTCCCTCTCTACGCCACCTCCCCACGACAACCCCAACTCCCAGGAAGAATACACCGGAAGTTATAAGTTAAACGTGCCTGACTCCGTAGTAAAGGCCCGCATATGGGCCGTCCCAACTTACTATGGTTTCAACTACCAATGAAAGGGTGGGACCATAGAAAGGTATCTTCTGCCCTCAGCACTAAACCCTACTATAGAGAGGCCTGGTCGGGCGAGAAGGGAGTCCTGGCCGAGTTGTGCGTATCGGGTCTTTTTCAGGTTTGGGGTCTAGGGTTTAGGGAGATGTCAACGTTCGCACGCCTTGGCTTACTTAGGGCCCGGAGTGCAGGGTGTTTCCATTGAGAAAACTTGGGCCGGCAGCATTAGTGCAGCGAAGCTTATGGGTGTTGCATACAAGTGCAGCCCTTCATACTTTAAGAGAATGTCTGAACCAAGCGTGAAGAACTCCATCGCACAGGATGACAGGCTTCTGTCTGTGAGACGTTTTTGAAGCCTGTCACTTACAGACTACCTAATTAGCACAGCACAGCTAGCATTGATATTGTTCAGGTCGTTACTCCGAGTCTCGCATTTACCATCTCTCTCCCTTCACAGCGTTCTAAACCAACCTGCTTTAAAAAAACTCGGGTGGCAAAGAATGCCTTCCTCCCATTGAACCCCAGCACCTGTTCTTGCTTACATTGGGCTGATCAACAATTGTGGGACCTTGTCGATGTGCATGTGTATATATGTATATACACACTAAACCCTAAACCCTCAACTAACCCTAAACCCTGACCATCGCAACGGACGCCTACCCCTGCGCAGCCTCTGCAACTGGAACCCCAAAACCCTTACAATCGCACACAAGTACCCAGTGAGAGCCTGCCCAGTGGTAGGCGCTGACGGAAGCGACCGAGGTCACTCTTGCCGAAACGAAGGGCCTGCGGCGTAGGGCTCAGTGGGCGAAGGTGCGGGCCGGTGGGAGTCTTCAACTTCACCCTCCAAGGCTCAAAACTTGCTTCGTCTGGGTCCCGAGAGACTTTGGAGCTGAGGGCCTCACAGGGTCTCAATCTAGGGTTAGAGTAATTTAGGGGGTTTGGGGCTGTAGGATTTCGGGTTTTACGGTTTAGGGTTTAGGGGTTTGGGGCTTTAGGGTTTTGGTGTTTGGGGCTTTAGAGTCTAGGGTTTAGGGGTGGTTTGGGGCTTTAGGGTTTAGGCCCGGGTTTAGGGTTTAGGGGTTCAACCCAGACTTTGGGGCTCAACCCCCCTGCCTTCTCTGGGGCATTAGACCCAGAGTTACCCTGTCATAGTTTAGACCCCTCTAGTTCTGGGTCTTTGTTAAGAACCAGCTTACATTTTTTGAATACTCAAAACCCAATAGGGAACAAACATGATCATCGTTTCAGAGTATCCCAACAATGGTGCAGATGACACCCTAGGGTTCAGACTAACCCTAAACCCTAAACCCTAAACCCTAAACCCCAAACCCACCGTCCTTAGGGATCCGTAGGGTCGTAGAGCTCTCCAGCTTCACAGCTCGGCGCCTGAACGCCGGAGCCCTCTGCGCACCAGCCAAAGCTCCACTCCAGCCAGTAGACCTGCAACTTGTTACCCTATTCAGTAGGGTTTAGGGTTTAGGGTTTAGGGTTTAGGGTTTAGGGATTTTAGCTTTTAGGGACTTTAGGGCTTCTAGTTCATGGTTGGGATCGCACTAAGAATTTAAATGTCTATTCCTTATTGGGTTTAAGTCAAAGATTTGGGGTACGCCGAAACCTACTTGTAACCCAATTTGGGGTACAGATTAACCCTCCTGATAACCCTATTTAGGGTACATATCTAACCAGTAGACCTGCGACACGATGTGCGAATTTTCTTGTGTGTAGGGCTTCTTGGGTTTAGGGGAGTTGGGGCTAAGGGCTTGAGGGTTTAGAGCTTCTATGTCGGCTTTTTGGGGTCTGAGACCCAAACCCTAAAAGATGGATGTTTGGGGCTGGTTGGTTGTGGTCCCTGTTTGCCGCAGCCAGGGTTGTTGTTGGGTCGCAGTGTTTTTTTTGCTAGGTGTCCGCCGCAACGCAGACCCGTTTATAAAGCTAAGCCCTAAGCTCTGACTGGAAGAACCTAACCCTAAACCCTAAACCCTAAACCCTAAACCCTAAATCCTAAACCCTAAACCCTAAACCCTAAACCCTAAACCCTGGCGAGCCTGAACTCCGACATGGAAAGCGCCACCCAAGCCTGCGAGCCTTGCAGGCAGGTACTTGGAGGTTCCTGGGTAGTCATGAGTAGTAGGGTTTAGGGTTTAGGGTTTAGGGTTTAGGGTTTAGGGTTTAGGGTTTAGGGTTTACGGTTTGGGGTTTAGGGTATAGGTTATCCTGGGTTACCTTACTTACAACTACCCATGAACCTCCAAGTAGGGCTCAGGTTTGTTTTTTGAAGGTGAAAAGCTCGTTGATTTCGAGTTTATACGGTTCAGGGTTCATAAGGTTTAGGGCTTCAAGGATTAGTAAGGCTCAGGGCTTCGGGTTTAAGGTGCAGGGCTACTAAGGTTTGGGGCTTTTTGGCCTAGGGCAGTCGGTTGAGCAGCTTGTTTTGATGGCTTTGTAAGCTTCAGCTCCAGACCCCACACCTCAAACCCTAAACCCTAAACAGTCGCAAGCCCTAAACCCTAAACTTTAAAACCCTAAACCCTAAACCCTAACCCCTAAACCCTAAACCCTAAACCCTAAACCCTAAACCCTAAACCCTAAACCCTAAACCCTAAACCCTAAACCCTAAACCCTAAACCCTAACCCGAAACCCGAAACCCTAAACCCTAAACCCCGACTCTGGGCTCCGAGCTCAGTCAAGGCCGTCACCGCAGCTGTGCCGTGGAGCTCCTTGGTTCTTTGGGTTTCCAGGGAGCCCGAAGACGTGTAGGGTTTAGGGTTTAGGGTTTAGGGTTTAGGGTTTAGGGTTTAGGGTTTAGGGTTTAGGGTTTAGGGTGAACTTGGGATGTGCCCCCCCTTATACTAGCAGTCCTTGATAGGGATTCGAGTGCTCCCTATCATAGTCCCTTTGGAGGACTGTTAGTAAAAGGGGGAACAACCCAACACTAAACCCTTACACTCTAAACCCCTAAACCCCTAAACCCTGGAACCCCTAAACCATAAATCCTAAACCCTTAAACCCTAAACCCCTTAAACCTTAAATCCTAAACCCCAACCCCTAAACCAACCTCAAACCCTAGACCTTAAAGTTAAACCTGACACCCCAAACCCCCCAAACCCCTTCAGGGAAGCAATGGGGGGCCCTGAAGAAACAGACGCCGGGCGGCGTAGATGCTCAGGGCTACGTCGGAGCCGATGATGGCCTGGGGGTTTCGGGCTTAGGGGGTTGGGATTCAGGTGTGAGGGCCCTAAGCCCTAAACCCTACACCGCACAAAAAACCCGAAAACCTAGACTCCAACACCCTCAACAGACCTTTGGTTTTTCAGGATATTTCGGTGATGTCAGGGCTGGATGGTTGTTCTGCTGAAGGCTGTTCCGGGCTGAACTCCACGAGGGCCTAGGGTTGCGGAATGATATACAAACATAAAACTTATTTGCAAATATGAACAAATAGGAAGATTCACAAACTAATTAAAAATGCAAGTATGTATATATATATGTCTACATGTATGGGGTTTGGCGTCTCTGGGGGACTAGGGCATAGCGAGTAAATGGGGGTCTTTTTGGAAGTCTGTTTGACTTACTAGCGTAAGGGATTACGGGGATTATCAACGGGTGGTACTAAGTCAAATCCTAGAACTTCCAACTAGAGTCCAGGGTTGCAGAGCTACTGGGTTTTGGGTTTCTTGCCGCCTGGTATAGCTGGTCAGCGGCGCCCCGCGCATCCTCCAGCAGTCGTGAGGGGAACCCTTTCGGCCGTATCTGCAGGCTCCATATAGTTCCTTTTTTGGGTTAGCTATGGGGGACCCAAAACGGTACTACGTAAGAGCCTTTAGGTAGACCTTTCATGCTGCACTGGCTTTAGTGTGTGCAGTGTCTATAATCACAGGTTTCCAAAATTGATTCTGCGAACGGAGTCTGTTGGAGGTACCCGCCAAAGGCTACCATCACAATAGGGGGTTCGCGGCGCCACGCTTTTATAGAGGTTGAAAATTTGTTGGGGTCATGGGTAGTTATAAGTAGGGCTGTAAGATATAAGTACCAGAAATGGGGGGGGGGGTATATGCATAGTTGCCACCCCACATACAACTACCCAAATGAACCTCCAACCAGGGTCTGTCATGAGACCGGCTTCGGGTTCAGGGTTTGGGGTTCGGGGTTCAGGGTTTAGGGTTTGGGGTTTAGGGTTTGGGGTTTAGGGTTAAGGGTCCTGGCAGGATTGCTCGACCCAGCTGTGAAGGGAAAGCTGGACACGGAGCAGTGTCATGGCGTTGCCTGGGCCCAGGTAAGTGCTTTAGGGTTTTTACAGGGTTCCAGAATTATATAAGGTTTCGGGTTTAGGGTTTAGGGTTTGGGGTTTGGGTTTATAGGGTCTAGGGTTTAGAGCTTGGCAGCCCAGCAACCACACAATAAGGGTACCGTTTTGGGGATCAGGTGGTCTGATAAGGAGCCCGGAACCCCAAGAAAAGGGCACCACGCGGCTACCAAGTTTTGGGGTTCCAGACTGAGGGTTTAGGGTAGGGTTTAGGGTTTAGGGTTAGGATGTAGGGCTTAGGGTTGGGGAGCTGCGTTGGGAAGCTTAAAGGGTGGAGCAAGCGAAAAAACAAACCATGGAATGAAACACCGAACTCCGAACTCCGAGCTCTACACCGTCCCCCCCCCCCTGGTTCTTAGTAGGGAATGTGGGAACGAGGAACCCTGCATAATCCCTTAAGGGGTGCATATAGTTGTATATATATATATATATATACATACATATGTATATATTTTCGGGCAAACAGGGTACCTCATTCCCTCATTCCCTACTAAGAACCGGCAAGGTACTTGGAGAATCATGGGTCGTTATAAGTAAGGTTATAAGTTGGAAGTATGGTAGCTCTACTTCCAACCCAAATTTAGGGCACTTATAACCCTACTTCGAATCAGAACTGGTCCCTGAACCCCGAAACATGCATGAACATCCAGCACAAAGGAAGCCTCATGAACCCGTAGGGCCCTAAACCCCACCGCGCCGTCAGGAAATCTCTGAATGGGTTTAGGGTTTTTCGCGTTTGAAGGTTTAGGCTTTATTTAGGCTTTAAGCTTCAGGGTTTAGGGTTCACCGCGCCGAGAGACGGATCAGCAAGCTCGCGTCGCCTAGGCTGTCCCAGGCATTTACTGGACATTGGGTTTGGCGATCTCCGAAGACCCCCAAAGAGCCGAGCACCCCTGAGTTCTCAAGGAATATACCGTACACCATTCTAGGGATTCTTATCATCTCAACTAAGGAATATACCTTAACACCATTGTCATACTGGGAGGTTCATGGGCAGTCATAAGTAGGGCCACAAGTACCTTAAATAGGGTTTCAAGTAAGGTTACCATACTTATCACCCGAACTCAAACCCCAAATAGGGATTCTGGTCGCTAACTGAAGGTATTTGTCTGCCTGCGCCTCCCGAATTCTGCTTCTCTCGTGCAGGGCTAAACCCCCTGAATCTCAAACCTTCAAGTGAAGCAAACATTTGTTCTTGGGGTTTGGGGTTTAGGGTTTTCGGTTCAGGGTTTGCCGGGGGGGGGGGGGGGGGGGGGTGTTAGGGTTTAGGGTTTTCAGTTTAGGGTAACTATCTCCATTGCAAGCAAGAGCAACAAAAGGCGCTATACATCACCTTCCCTGGGAGGCTCAACGATGCGTGAATGCATGAGGACTCAGGGTGGGATGCTTGCGGTTCAGGGTTTAGGGTTTGGGGTTTGGGCTTCCCAAAATAGGGCTCCTAGAATCAAGAGTGTGGCATTTCGGGCTTCATCTTAAAAGGCGCCTAGACCCTAAACCCCACACCCTGAACCCTAAACCCTACGTAGGGCTCTTATGATAAACTCGGACCCTACACCCAATCGCTGCGAGATGCCATGCCCAGCCAGCGCGGACAGGATGCGGAGGGCCTTGGAACAAGTTCAGGGCCAGCATCGGCATCGAGGCTACCCTCTATAGGGATAATCAAGCCGAATTAAGGTGATTTAAGGGGGGAACCTAGTGGGGGGTTAGGGAAACCCATAAGTTTTGGCTTTACGGATCAGGGGGTAGACTTTCGGGTGTCGCAGTCTTGCGCTGTGTTACGTCCACCGCGATCCCTAAGCACTGACCTTGCGTGAACCCCAAACCTCAAGTCTTCAATCCCAAATCTTAGAACCCGAAACCTAAAGCACCTCCCTGCAGCACAATGGAGCCCCTCTAGAGCGTGAAGGCCCGGGGCAGTGAAAGCTTGCACATCAAGCTTAGGAACTCAAGTTTTAGGGTTTAGGGTTTAGGCTTTTTGGGGTTCACATACTATAGGGCTGTGGGGGTATGCTTGCAAGAGCGCCAGAGCGGCCTCCTGTCTTTCAAGCTCTAAACCCTGAAACCCTAAACCCTGAACCCTAAACCCTAAGCCTATACCCTAAGCCCTAAACCCCCGCCCTCGGCCTCGAAGCAGCTCTGCGACCAGCAAGTCTCAAAGCGCTCCTGGCAGGTTGCCACGAGAGATCCCCCTGCTTTTCGAGCTTAGGAGGGTTTAGGGCTTAGGGTTTAGGGTTTAAAAGGCCGGTAGCTTTAGAATCCTGGGCCTACTGCGGGAGGCTGTGAGCTGTTCTGGCATAGTATGCTGTGGGTAGCTCTCTTACGTTCCCCGGGCTTTGCTGGACCAACCCCTTTGGAAACTTGATCGCCAGGCTGGTTGCACATTTTTGGTTAAGGGGAATCTTGGGCCCCCGAGACTACTGTTTGCTTAAGAACCCCCAAAAGATAAAACATGAAACATGTTGTTCCTTATGGAAGGGGAAATGGTGATTATTCTGTTTTTTTGAAGGGGTTCTGAAGCAAATGGTAGGAGGTCAAGAGGCCGGGGCCAGGTTTCGGTATGACTCATCGTCAACAAGGCCGGCCAAACTAAACTAATCAACCGGCGAAGGTTTAGGATTCAAGGTTCGGGCTTTACTTACGGGTTGCCATGCCTTCCCCCACAAGGGCACCCTCCCCTTCCCCCCCCCCTCTCAAACAAAGAAAACATTGCCTACTTACCTACTTAGGGTTTAGGGTTTCGGTGCTAAATTTCTTGAGATCTGGGGGTGTGGGGGGGGGGGGGGGAGTTTAGGGGACCTTGCGGTAAACCCCAAACCCTACAGCAACCTGCTGGCTCTCGCAGCTGCAGGTCCAAGACCCGCTAGATGAGGAATGGACCTTTCATCCTACTAAGGGCCCCTATACGGTTTGAGGTCTATTCCTTAGCTCTTTGGCTCCATGAGTACCCGGTGTCTGGCAGTTTTTTTTCGGCTTCCCGTCCAGTGTCCTGAAATTGGCCAGCCCACTCATCATGCTTGCGGGTCCATTCGTCCAGGCTATCCTCCTGATGGGGCGAGGTCCCTCAGCCCATGAACTCTTCAAACTACACTGGCTCCTCGTATCAAATACCCCTTACGTACTCCTCCCTATAACCCTTACTACTGCGTACCCTTGTATACACTTGAAAGCCTCATCACAAAAGGTGCCCTACCCGTCCTCCTCCAGCTGCCCTTGAAAGTGGGGCAATTCAGGAATTAAGGAACTGGCAACACTGGCTACCCTGCTGTACAGTATGAGGCCCAAGTCCTGCAACTTTAGACCATGAGCCCGAAAACAAAAGGTTGCCTGGGACTCCACTCTTGGAGTTTGTCTTTTCTTCTAGCTTTGCATTTTTATTTCGTCTGGGGGGGAGGGTGCGGGGCTTAAGGTTTGGGGTTTAGGGTTTTAGGATTAATTTGGGGGGTCCTGTTTAGAGAGAACCACGGAGAGAACATAGAAACTGTTGTGCAGCCTTTTTGCACCACAGCCGAAAGGAAGCAAGGTTAGATCCCTGCGTGGGCTGCTCGCTTTAGGGTTTAGGGTTTTGGGGTTTTTTCGGTTTACGGCTGAGGGTTTCGGCACCGTTTCCAGGGTGGAGGGCTTAGGGTTGAAGAGGGCCCCCGCATGATCCTGAATAAGAAGGCACTCGGTTATATCAACTCTGAACCCTGCCAAACTCTGTAAGCTGAACAAACCCCGGTAGCCACCTAAGCCCCTCAAGCCCCCGCAAGCCCCATCGTCCCAGCTTCGGGGGTAATACCAGAGCCCAGACAACTACCAAGACTAGGACAATTACTGGGACTAGCCCCTTGCACGCCCTTGTAGAGGTATAGCATAAACAGCCCCAAGTGCCCAACCTCCTAAGCCCATTCTACTCAGCAAGCCCCTACCCAAACCCCTGGCAGGATCCAAAAAGTCGAACCCCCAAATCGTGCCCTTTTCTACTACAGTATTGGGTCACTCCTAGGAGATCTAGTTTTGGGATCCTCCCAGGGGTCTGGGTAACTTCAATCCTGTGAACCCTACACCCATTCGAACCTAACAGGCCCCCTGCAACATGTTGGGGCCCTAAACCCTAAACCCTAACAGAAGGGCCTGTCATGGGGCCTGGTTTTTTTTTGGCATATTTTCAGGGTTGCTTGCATGCTTCGGAAGGCCCTTATGAATTCATGTAACCCGTCGTTACACCAGCACGCGCCTTATGCCCTACACCCCGAGCCTTCTACAAAGCCAAACAAACCAAAAAAACCAAAAGAACCAAAAAAACCAAAAAAACCCAAAAAACCAAGGATTTCCACACTACTCTGAAACCTTCGGACTAGTGTGAGAATCCTTGGTTTTTTTGTTTTTTTTGGTTTTTTTGGTTCTTTTGGTTTTTTTGGTTTTTTTGATTTCCGCTGCAGGTGACGCACTCGGACAACTCCCTGCGACTGCTCTTTTGGGTTGGGTTTGGGGTCTATGTAAACATGACTATTGTATAATATATCTTATGCTATGCTTCCGATGGGTCCAGCTGCTTATAAGCAAGCCTTCTGCTTATAAGCAGTCAGACTGCTTATAAGTTCGGCTGAAAACGACAGTCCGAGAGTCGCAGGGTGTATCGGCTTGGGTGGGTTTTCAAGCTTAATGACCCTAAGCCCCAAACCCTGCATCCTAACCCCCGTCCATCCCCCAGTAAACCTCTTCCCTAACTACAAGGTTTGGGGGTTTAGGTTTGAGAAAGGATGCCTGTGCGTGTGTGTTTTTCTCTTGGTTTTGGCTCGGGTGCGTGTTTACCCTGAATACTAGGTGGTGGGTGTGTGTGTGTGCTTGTGACGCATTAGGAAGCCAAGCGTTGTAAACACATCCTGTGTTTGCAAACAGGCCGGGTGTTTACAAACAGGCCGGATGTTTATAAACAGGCTGGGTGTTTATAAACACATAAATCTTTG